AATAGTTTGGTTTTACTCTTGATTTTAATTATTTCCTTCTGCAATGAGCTAAGCATTTTCTTTTTCTGCACCTATAAGTAGATAGAGCTTCTCTCACAGATAAACATGTGGCTTCTATGTGAATTTCTCTCCAGTCAAGAGAATAACGTTTTGTTTTTAATTATCTTCACAAGATGGATATAAACACTGTGGACGCCCAAACTATTTAAGCCACATTTTCAGATTTTTATTGGGAAACCAGCCCTTATAGGTATAGACCTCCAAAGCATTTTGGCTGTCGGTACGTGTTTTTCCAGCAGAGGTTGTGTTTACCAGTCCCAGCTGCTGACTGGGAGAAACAGGGTGGATCCGGCACAGGAATGTTACTAGAGCTGCAATACATGTCATGCCACAGAGACAATAAACTCAAATTGACCGTTTAATTCAACTCAAGGCACAAAAACAAAACAAAACAACAACAACAACAAAAAAACCCCTCTGAGAGACAACATGTCTAAGCAAAACCACTCCGGCAGAAAAACTGGCCTATATGGTTGTTACATTTAGTAATTCAGCTGAAGGAATATCCAAAGATCTTCTAAAACTTTGAAGGAAGTTGCTAAGTTTTGAAAACTTTGGTTGCATGAGTTCATCCACCACTGATGAAAGTCAAGGTGTTGATGAACAAATTTATTACTGAGGTAAATAATCTAGAAACGCAAAATGAAGGCTGTTGCGTCCCAAGCAGGACTCACAATAGCAGCAAATAGGTTTCACAGAAGCTGCTTCTATTAAAAATAGACATATGCAAATATATTAAGTTACACAACCCTGCACTGGAACATTTTTTTTTTTTGTTATTTTAAAGAGTCTAATTCTGATTTGCAAGGGAAAAAGTAAGTAATAATTACACTTAAGAATAATTATTCTTTGTTTTTCCCAGCCAATCTCAACTGCAAATTGTGTTGCCTATCTGCAGTGTGCTATCTGTACATAAATTGATCCAGATGAAAAGGCGCCAACTGTTCATAGACCACCAGCAGATGAAGACCATAGCTTGACCATAAAACTGCAGGTTCAGTCTTTTTCTATCAGTTTGACATGTTTTATCTCCAGGGTCAGATACAATAAAATCACTTTGGGGGTTATTGATTAAGCACCACACCTAAAAGCTTCTGCAACAGTACGCCTGTGATATTTTAACTCATTCAAGGTAAGTCAATCATTAAGATGTCAGAGAATCAGAGAAATGTGCAAACCTGTTTGAAAACGTTTTTCTTCTATCTGATCTTTAAATGAGGAGGGTGGTAACAGCTGCATAACATATTTACCAATCATGTGTTTGTTGCTTGGAAACACAAAACAGCCAACCACTCTGCGGCAGCAATTCAGCGATTTTAAGCATCTATGGGATGAAGACAACTCGCTGAAGTTCAAACAGGGATACGAATGGGGAAGAAAGGAGATTTAAGTATCTTTAAACATGTTCTGGATCATCAACCGCTCTGCTGTCACAAAATGTTAGTGAATTTTAAAATGGCAAAGCCTACATTAGCAGGGTTACTGGCAATGTCGATCCACTTTTGGCTCTAATAATCTCAAACTGCTTCCATGAAATGAGATATCAATCAAACAGAGAACCTCAAATCACGGCTGTGCAGCTGATCGATCTACAGGAACTCGGTGAAGCTTTCATGTTAATATGTATAAAATAAAAAACTGAGGGAAGCTTCAAACACCTCGTCAAATCTATTCAACAAATGGTGTGGCAGATAAAAAGGCCAAAAATTAATCTAATAAATCTAGTTTGCAAGTAAATTTATGACATATTAGTCTACATAAACCCACATTTAAACAGGCTGCCAGCTTGCACATGATGATTAGCATCTACTCTGTGCATCATCTACAGGTCAAAGGATTGTGGTGTGGTCAGCTAAGTTTATCTTATCATAAAAAAGACGTAATAAAAAACAATCTCTGATATTTTCAGTAGTTGCTAAAGTTTATATTCTTCACTCTTTTTTTAAAATAATTTTTTGGCTCTAGTGGCCTTTATTTGATAGTTAATCGACAGGAAAGTGGGCAATGAGAGAAGGGGGAAGACACGCAGCAAAGGTTGCCAAGGCCAGGAATCGAACCCGTGACGGCTGTGTTGAGGACTAGGGCCTCCATATGTGGGCTGTGCTCAACCCCTGCGCCACCACAGCACAACCCCATATTCTTCACTCTTGAAGATTTGCCTTAGTCATCAGTTTTATGTGCAAACTTATGCAAGCATCTCAAGCAACTTTTGTCAATTGGCTTTATGGGAGAGTAATTATATGAGTGCATATTAAAGTGTTACAAAACACAGGAAGAAAGAAAGCCCCATATTAATGAACAAAGGTGAAATAACCTTATCTGTTGATATTATGTAACAAGCACATTGAAAATATGACATCTAACCTAAATCTCTGCTCTGGTGTCTGCTCATGCAATGTGAAATAATGTGACTTTTTACATGGAAGCTGAACAAAATACACATTTCGTTTTTAGCACATTAAATGACACAGACTTTTTCGTCCTATCAAAGTTACTTAATATGGGTTCTCAGGGCAGGTGAAGTTTTGTAACTTATCTGCAAAAAAGATAAGATATTATTTAATAGGCTGAGCGAATCATTAAATTATGTAAGAAAAAAACAGCAATGATGAGTTGGCATTTGTGTAATTATTGTGCAAATCTAACATTACATTTATAAATAGTTTTCATGTTAAAGTGAGATTTTATCAGGGCTGACGCTATAAACCACTGGCTTCCTAAACGACAACAAGATTCTTTTTTAAATCTGTTGGGATCTATTATCTGAGGTTTTGCTTTGAATAATACATGTGTTTTGTAGAGTCTGTGCTGAACGTTTTGTTTAAAATGCAAAAATGGAGGAAATGAATGACGTCAAATACAAAAGATGCTGAAACCTGGTATTTACATCTTTTTACCTGATATTTTATGGTACTTATCATTCAAGTAGTAAACTCAGCAGATATTTTTAGATATAATTTATTTGAAAACAAAAATCCAATTGAATAAAGTACAAAACTTTATTTGAATGCACTTTTAACCCATTTAAAGCATATTAAGCACAAATTATGACATAGTTGTCAAAATAGAATGATTTTGGCTGAACAAATTTGAATTTTGCTAAATATTTTGAGCCAACAAATATGAATGCAATCAATTTCCAATCACATTTATTACGTTAAACCTCCTGATTGAACAGATATGAGGAATGTCTCTGTAGTTATATGACAGAAGTGGCTGTTAACCTTTGAACAGAATAACTGAACCAGCTCTATTTCCTTTGCTTTAATCTTATTGATATGATTAGCTATCTAACCTAAAAGGTTAGGAATGCTAATGTTACATTTTCCATAAACTATTAGACTTTATATTAATTCTTTCATTAATATTGTAGTTTGTATATTTTACTTCATTCCCTTCTCAGTTATGATTACAAATGATGTAATGTAATATTTTGAGTCTGTAATAAAGACAATGAGCAAGCTTTGTGATTTCTGTAGAACCATTTGATCCCAATTTTTTTTTTTAAATTAGATTCATAATTTAACAAAGAGCAGAGCTGAAAAAAAAAACCTTAACCAGTATAATTTTGTTGCCCCATGTGTGACTAAATCTCCTCTTCACCTATCAAGCATCGCTTTATAAGTCAAAGTCAAATCAATTTTATTTTAGTGCCAAACAACATCAATGGGAAAAGATGTTATGTTATTTAATTTTAAGTACTTATTGAATTGTTCTGTTTCTACTACATTTTTGTTTATTGATATACTTTATTATTCTTATTCAATTATTTTACTTGCCTTCGAGAGTTGATATTTTTTTACATTTCGTTGTGCTTTCTTCATCCACAGTGAAAATAAAATGAATTCTGATTCTGAATGCAGTGAAAGCTAAAATATTCGAAAAGTTTGTTAATGACTATATTGTGCAGATCTAGTTACACATCGAAATGTGCACAAAGTTGCCTCGTGGCAATTCCAGTGAGATCTGAAGTCTCTTGTGCGTTCATACCGTTACATAACAACCACCCTCTCCTGCTCTGCTCCCTGCTCCACTCATCATGCCTGGTTGGTTCACCTTGTGATCTGCTCTCTTCTCCTACATTATCATGATTGCATTCTTGTGTCTTCTATGGTAATGAAATGTGGATCAATCTCCAGGGCTATCAAAGCCTGGCATGACAAGAGGAGTGCTGTAACAGAGCAGGAGTCCACTCAAGTTTTACATGTGATTAAATCTATGATTATACATCAATTCAACAAAGGTCATTTCCTTATTCTTCATAATATATTCTCCACACACCTCAGCTCTAAGACACGCGCTTATGGGAAACCTACAGTCCTGCCATCCATGTGAATGTTGCTTGTTCCATCACAAACCACAAATACTACAGGAAAGTTTTGGAGAAAACTTGTTTGAATCTGATTTATGCCTCAATGGCAGCAGAAAGACCAATTAGTCTTCATGTTGTATCAGTGTATGTTCCCAGTTTTGGCACAGATTAGTATTCTTTTGAAAGAAATGTATCTTAGCTTCTTGGTAAACTTTCCAGATTATCCATCTGGTTTTTTGACACAACAACATGCTCATGTGCCCAACTTTGGGAAGCAGGGCTAAAAAAATGATCATCACTGATTCATTGCATTAATATCTTATGTTTATCTGCTGCAGTTGCTAGCAATTAGCTCTTGACATAGCTTCCTCCTGGACTTTAAACTGTATGAAATGATAAAACTTTTTAAATGCTTGATGTTTCCTTATGAATAAAGTGTTGTTAATGACAATACTGTTTATTAACAGACAAATTAGAAATTGTTTAGGACGAATTACTGCAGTAGAGTCATCTCTGTTTTTGTCTGTTAGTGAACTGGATGAGGTAAATATGTTGCACTTGTCAAAGCTGTCTGTCTTTTCATATCTTATGAAATGTTGGATCCGAGATGTCCATAAAAACACAGAAACACTTTTAAGAACAAAAATAATTTTATTTTATTTGCAAGTTACTTATTCACACAAATAACATTCAGAGACGTGTTCTATAAGAACCAACATGATCAATGTCTAGAAGGGTTTTACAGCTTATATAATTATATAAATATAGTGTGCGGTGTGAGGCTCTTCTCCAACGTGAATCTTTATCCCTCCCTCCTAGACCAGTCCAGGTAAGAGCCGGTGTAATTACGTGCTCTGAAAGTAAGAAGAGAAACATTGACGGTAAGAGGAGACGTCTGCAGTAACGACTTGGGGAACTTTAATACTGTCAACAAAACGTATTAACGTACGTCACATATCCAAGTTCTCTGGCTTTGCTGATGGCCTCTGCTGACCGCTTCCCTGACCGGCAGTAAAAGACCAGCTCAGGCGCATCCAGTGCAGGTTTGGGAATCCCGTATGTGGCCTGGAAATCCTCTGGGCTCATTTTGAAGGCAGTTTCGACGGTGCCAACTGATCAAAACAGAGGAGAAAGACACGACAGCAGTTCACTCACACAGGCCTGAGGCACTAGAAAGACCATGTAGTGAAAAAGATGCAGATATTTAGTAAAATTATAATAAATGAGCTCTTACGGGCAATGTGAGTGGACCTGGGGATGCGTCCTTTGTTCACCTCGTCTGTCTCACGGACATCAATCAGAATCAGATCTTTGCTTTTGGCCAGGAGAGCCTTCAGTTCCTCGTATGTGACTAGAAAAAAGAAAAGACGTTTTTTAAGAAACACCCAGAGAAATCTGCGTGAATCTATTTTTTAGGTTCCATAATTGTACTTAATTATTAGGTAGTCTTTCCAAATATTCTGAGCTCAGATTTGCTCCAACTGGAGACAAATGTTAAAAACTTTGGCAAAGATAATAAAATCCTGGAAATTCATGGTTTTAAAAAAATCCTGCCACATAAACTCCAAGTATGATTTTTTTTCTCTCTAAATTGCCAATTAGAAAACGTGCATGTAACAAAATGCAAAAAGCACAGGTGAGCAGATATGTTACAGTTTGTGCAAAGCAGTAACTGTGAAGCTATCAGCTTCACCCTATCTACTCTGCTGCGTCACGGGGACATATGCATAAAGATTTAGTCATAAACCAATATCTACGCATTTATCTGTCTTTGTGTAACATTTGACATATTAACATTGCAAGTCATGAAACTAGTATACTAAACTGAAACAAAAATATAATTGATTTTGCATTCTAATTAATTTGTAAAAAAAATATTAAAAATATTTTAAATGAATGCTGTAGGATGCCCCAGTTTAATTATTAAAAAGAGATAATTACTGTGCCATCAGAAGAAAACACTCACCTGGGTTTGTCATGTTGGTTTGCGTGAGTGAAGCTTTAGAGATGAATCAGGAATCTCTGCTTAATTCTCCTCTTCCACATCGCCGCTTTTATGCAGCTTGGTGGCAAATAATTGGCTCAGGTTCACTCAGTGGGCCGGGTCTGACCTTGAAGACTCAGGTATTGGAGCCAATAATTATGTAAGAGCATCACTGTTGAGGAGGTGTTTCAATTACAACCCGGGCTCTAAATCATTAGGTCCTCTATCAAGGGTCAAAACAAATAAATAATCTATTAAAACATCTAACTTTTTAGATATTGGCAGAGAATATTCAATGAAAGAAAATCAAGCATGAAAAAAACTGACATGATAATTCATTGCAAATGTTTTCACATTTAGAGACTCTTTTAAGACAATTTGTTCAATAATCAATAAAGAAAAACTAAATCACAGTGAGGGCAGCTCTGTCTGGATCCTGATGTCCTCAGGTTCTCATTATTTCATCAGTGGATTTAAATCCCTTCAATTTGTGACAAAGTTTTCTATGTTGTTGTTCCATTAAGAAATAACACTTTAAAAATGTAAAAGTAAAGTCAACAAAACAGACTATTGTTTTTTTTAATGGGTTTGTATTTTTCAATTATTCCTTAATTTATATGGGTTAGTTTTAGTTTCTGTAATGGTGCAATATTATAGTACAATTATTTTCAACAATTATTGTCTCCAAAAAAAAAAAAAAACAACAACAAAAAAACAACAAAACAAACAAACAAACAAACAAAAAAAAACAAAAACAAAAAAAACAGGAACTATAGACATATTAAGATCAGTACCATCATGGATACTTTCTCTGCTGAATTACTTTCAGGTCAACAGTTTATGCTGATATTTTTTTCCTACTTTATTTCAACCTAAAATAAACTCAACTGCAGATAATGTTTCGTATACATTTATTAAAGCAACCGCCATCACAGAAAAGTCTAAACCAATCTTTATTGCAATTAATTAGATCTCTAGCCTAAATTTCAATCTATTGTAAAGCAGTAAAAAAAAAGTCACATTCACATATACTGTAGTGTAAATTATATATTTCTGATGGAGTATTAGAAACACTAAATACTCGCAGTACAAACATGTCTCTGTAACCCAAAAAAAAAAAAATAAAATAATTCCTGGCCAGAATTTAAAAAAAAAAATCTTTCAGATTTCAGCTCTGACGGCCTCATTACTCGCAGCTTGACCTTCGACCTGTTGGAATAATATTGTGATGGTAAATGAAGCCAAAAGCAGATTTGAACCCGATTGTGGCAGAAATCAAACGACATTCTCACCTGAGCAGAATAGCACCCGACTTTGGGGAGCCGTTTCCATGACGACACCCTCCACAGGGACTCTCTGAGGGAGGCTGATAGCTCATGAGTGTCACGAACCTGACGGACACATAGATATGAGCGTTTTATTTTAAAATAATGTTGTGTTTAAGTAAGAAAATGAAAGCACCTTCATGTGTTTCAAGCAGGCATTTCTGAAGTCCATGTTGCTGCTGCTGCTCACTATGCTGATGGTGGCGCTGACGATCACCTCAGCAGCCGACTGCAGTTTCTCTCGTTTCTTACAACACAAACACGCGTATTTATTTTATATGACTTGTGAATATTTTGATTTTTTTAATAGAAAACACAAAAATACACGTTACATTTCGTCACGCTTAAAGCAAAAACTTCAACGTACTTTATTGGGCTTTTAAGTGACTAACCAAGACAAAGCAGTAGAACATTTTTAAAAAGTAAGAAAGATGATTAAACTAAAACTCAAGTTTTTAGTCTACATATAACACACAGAGCACATAATATCCGCAGTGAAAGAAGATGGTGGCTGCATCATGCTGTGGGGATATTTTTCTTTCAAACTCAGAGTTGATAGACAGACAGATGGAGGGGTAAATATAAGACAATTCTGGAAAATAAAACTGTTAAGAGATTTTTTAAAAAGTGGAGCAGAGGTTTCCTTTATTAAAAACCTTACATATAGCACAACTTGAAGATTGAAACTCAGAGATGTGCCGCCTCTTTTTAAAGTTGAAAAAGCAAGAAAATTCTGTCTCTAGAGATGCAAAGCAGCTAGAGACAAACCCCAGAAGCTTTGCATCTGGACCTTTGACAAAAGATAGTTATGTATGCCACACTGCTTTATTTGACTTTTACTTGCAAATAAATAAATGCAAACTACGCATATTTTTACTTCCATTTCCCATTTATGGACTATTTTGTGGTAATCTGTGACATAAAATACGCTGAAGCTTATGGGGTTGATACCAGAAAAGACTTAGTCAAATTATTTTCCCCTTGTAAGCATGGTGGTCTTACATAAAGTTGTTAAATTAATGCAGAAAAATGTCTTTCTTGCCTTTTTTCTTTCTTTTAAAGCCTTCATTGTGTTGAAAAGCTCAGCCTGCAGAGCTGACGTAACTGCCTGCCTGTTGTTGCTCAGAATGTCCTCTAGATGGAGCTCTAATAACAACTCACAATCTGTAGGAAGAAAAAAATGGTGAATGTTTTCAGCTCAGGGTTTCATGTTCACATCTGCTGCGATGATGATGATGATGGTAATAAATCTTCACCCATTTTATCTGTGAGCTCAGAGGTGAAGGGGTCACTGTGCTGTAAGAAGAGCAGGACTAGGAGACTCTGCTGAACTGGGAGGTGACTGGGTTGTCGCTCTGGATCGTCCCAGTTTTCCCGCTCCACAGTGAACACAACACCATCACTGTGCACAGGATCATCAGGGGATGCTGGAACATTTAAAACACAATATATAGAAATTTATATTTACAAAAAATAACTAATAGTACCACTCTGGTTCTACGGCCTCAGTATGTAGTTTATAGAGCGAAGAGTTGCATCTTTCGGTTCTACATCATTTAGAAAAAAAAAGAATAATAAAAATGTGAACTTAGGAGTAATCAGCTTATTTTTGTCATTAAGAGAGAATAATTCACTAGTTAACTGCACAATAAAAACTTTGGAAATTAGTTAGTTACATGTGAGCCTGGTTAGCTGATGGAGACAGATCTGTCACAATGTGTGAAAGGAGTTGATTATCGGCCCGTCTTGGTAAATAAGCTGCAGTTTGAGACTGATAGGAAATGACAACCAGTGAAACAGCGACAACCTCACAAACCTCATTTTAATGATGTACAGATATATGCTGTTGTGTCATTTCTGACCCCCTCTGCTGTCTACAGTGTCATGTTATTAAAATGGTCTTTTCTGCTCGAAGGAAAATATGCCTGAACTTAATGAAAATACACAGTAATGTTTGCTAAAATGTAAAGTCACTGAGTTTATTTACACCTGTTCATTTGTGTTATTTTACTTCACTGATCTGAAAAATGCCATTAGTCAGTTGATGCCACTGCATAAATAGTGCAGCAGCGCCATCAAGTGGTCTCATTAGGACAAAACAGCAAGATGAATCAGATTTTAAAAACACTAAAATGGATTCAGCAAATATAACTTCACTCTTTCTCCACATTCAGACCCTGGTGTTCAAATGAAATAATGTACCTTCATGTAAATCAAAGATTTTAGACGTGCAGGAGGAATCTGAGTGATTAAGCCAGTCATGAAAAATGTTGTGTGTGGCGGCTCTTTAAGCAGCAACTTCAGCCACAACCCGTCTCTGAAACTCCCACAAACTCTAGAATGCACTTCGTCTTAGTTGTGGCTGCAATTTTTTCCTAATACATCTTGTCTTTTCACTTAATTTGCTAGGAATGCGTTTGTATCAGCACAGTCAATCTCCAGTTTTTTTTTTTAAGCTAGAAAAGGTAATTAGAAATAACCTCCTTTGGTTTACCCTCCTTTTGAAGGAGTATGTTCCTAAAAGTCTAGACAGCAGTCTTCCTCATTCGTTTCTGCTGAATTCTGGGTTTCCATCACCTGTATGTCATTATCACAAAAAATAAAGATAGAAAATATGTTACCGAGTCTGTAAATCTACATGATTTTCCTTTTTTGAATCAAATTACTGAATAAAATTACATTTCAATGAACGTAATCTATGGCAAAGGAGGAATGAGAGAATTTGCCAAAATTAAAACATATTAGCAAAATAAAGCAAAACAATGTAGCCTGGTTTGTACATACAGTCGATGCTGACTGTAGGAAAAACCCACACAAATCCACTGTTGCTTATTAGATAATCATGAACGTTTCCTCTGACACATGTCCAATTTTGTTTATCCCAAATTAGATAAATGTGACCATAAGAACGAGAGGAGGTTTGCACCTCAAAATGAATGAGCCAGATGGCCGATGACTTGCATGAGTCATAGTTTCCTCAATTATTGTTTTATATGACTATATATTTTAGTACCGGATACAGCATATGAAACCAACACAGGCACGATGGTGGCTGTGCCTTATAAAGCTTTCAACATTTTTTATTGTGTCACGCTAAACTGACTCCCAAACTCTGTAAACATTGCTGAACATCAGCAACCTGGTATTTTTATTGATGTTGAAGTTGCTCTAAAATAGTTTAGGGAAATTAATCCCAGCTTCCAACTGCAGTTTTAATGAGACTACAAAATTATCCCAGTTATAAAGATGTTTGCACACCTTTTCGCTCCAAAAAACAACATTTAATGAAAATAAACAGCATTTACATGTATCTAAGAGTATTTCCCACATTTCAAGTCTGTGGAATAGATTTGAAAACATTGTTTATTCTCTTTGTTGCTGCTTTCAAGGTTTGTTTTCTCTCATTTGATTTCAATTATCTGCTTCTGGGATCAATTACAGCTTTTTCTTATTCTCTCACAGCTAAACATGTGTTTTTTTTTATGTGCAATTCCCTGAAGTCAAGAGAAAAACAAATCTGTGCTTTAATTGTTATTGAAAGTCTTTACTAGATGGGATTGAATGTTCAACATCCCAAACCTTAATTTCCAGATTTTTTATTGGAAAACTAGCCCTTCCAGGTAAAGACCCATAATGCATCTGGGCAGTGAGAACATGCTGTTCTCCCAGCGGTGGTGGTTGTTTACCTTTGGAGGAGCAGCAGTGCATTCTGCCCAGTCCCAGATGCTGGTAGTCCAAAGCAACAGGGAGGGTTTGGAAGAAACCAGACGGAGCTGAAACAGGGACATTACTGGGGCTGAAAACCAGAACCTGAAAACACGGCGAGTCAAGGATGATTCATTCAAATCAGACGTCTAAATCCCCTTCGGAAACAAAAAAAAAACACCCAGTCTACCACACAACATACCGCTGCATGTCTAAACTTAGGCCTGCACAACGAATCACAGACTGATAGCTACAATATCGCTGCAGGCAGAATGAATATCAAAAAACTGGAAGGGCTGCAAGAATCGTTAGATAATTATTTAAGTACAATGAAAGCATGATGTCTATGCCCGTCATAGTTTTGCTGACATGTGTGTTTATACAGTTTTAAGCTTTTTACAGGGTAAACAGACATTAAGGTGGAGAAGACGTTCAGATACAACCAATTAGTTTCAATACCAAAACAGCAAAACGACGACCTGAGGCAACTTTTTAATAAAACCTTGTGGTTGAGATGAAACAATAAATTTTTGTTTATTTTTATTTCTTAAGGCAAACACTTAATAATTATCACAAGTCATATTGTTATTGCAATAATTCTAAATATAATTGCATATCCGTGGTTTCCTGAAGCAGATGTTGCTCTTCTCATGGTCGCTTTTACTCTGATGACATTATTAAAGACATTGAAAGCAAACTGAGTGATAGGTTGGCTGCGTCTACAAGAAAAGAGACATTTGAGGGGTTAAGAGGTATCAACACATGTTCTCACAGAT